TTTTTTTCTGAGGTTCAGGGTTACAGGATGTTTATTTGTGTCTGTTTCATTTGGTCTATCATATGTCTTTGTTGTAGAGGGTCTGTTAAGTGCATCAGCCTAGTCTGCCATCTTTCTGGAAGTTTCTATACATCTGCTTTTAAACTAGGAAGAAATTTTGAATATAACTAACGTTTGAAGCTATTTGAATATCTAGAATGCTTTCAGCTTGATGCAAAAGAATAAATTTTGTGTTTTTTTAGAGTGAAAGTAAAACTTTCCCCGTGGTATCATGTAAACCTGTTGAGTAGCTAAAATTCAGACCTCAGCTGTTGAAGTCTTAATGTGAAATCCAATAGTTTGACAGACTGTGAAGTGCCCTTCGAGTCAGTTCCAACTCATAGCAACCCTATATGGGATTTCCTAGGAGTGGCTAGTGGATTTGAACTGCCATCCTTGTGGTTAGCAGTCCAGTGCTTATCCTATGGCACCATACCATGGCTTTTTGAATTCCAGGACTTGGCAGACAGTTTGATCTCAAACTGAGAAATAAGACTGTGACCTAAATTCATCCTTGCAGATTCCAGTTAACTTTTATTAATCAGATTTACTTCATGTTGTACAAATGGTGGTGGTGGCATGCTTTGGAATCAGTTCTGACTCATAATGACCCTCTTTAGGACTTCCGAGGATGTAAATCCTTATGGGAGCCAAAAGTTGCATCTTTATCCCTCAGAGTGGCTGGTAGATTCGAACTGTTGACCTTGTGGTTAGTAGCCCAGGTCGTAATCCACTATGCTACCAGGGTTCCTTATATTGTACAAAAGAGCTATGCTATTTAATACTGAACCTTTTCATTATTTTATTTTCACATAAAGTCAAATGAATTCCTTCGCAATGTGTTTGAACTTGGTCCCCCGGTGATGCTTGATGCTGCAACTCTGAAAACGATGAAAATTTCACGTTTTGAAAGGGTAAGTTTTGGTTTTGTTTTTCAAAAAACTAAACATCAGTAAGTAACCTTTATTTGATATTTTAAATGTAGATTTAAATCCAAATAAATAATTGGTGAATGTTTATCATAAAAATGAATTATATGTTAACTAAATATTTGATGAATGAGTATATTCGTCAAATTCATTTACTGGCAATCATAACATATAATATAGGGTGAGTTATATTTCAGAACTAGGAGGATTTTTTATAGTTCTATTTCACTGATGAAAATAAGCAATAGTAATGACTGAAACAAAACAAAAACTCAACATCTCAAAGCAAGAATTATGTAGTGGTACCTTCCTACACATGGGATTTTAGCTTTTTTATGATTACTTTTACACAGAGAGTAGCTATACTAAAAGCTTTATTGCATTTAGATTATGAGAAGTTTTTATGATTACCCAAAGCTCTACCATTTTAATACAGAAATTTTCATTTTTGTTTTCTGTTATCCTATGGAGTTTGCATATTTAAAAAGAAATACACAGTTCTTCTTTTATACTAAGTAAGTTTCTCATTTTACTAAAGAGGAAACTGAAATGTAACATTAAATAGTAATAATTAACATTATATTTTCACTTAAAGTATTTAAAGCCCTTGGTTTTATACATACACACACACACATATATACATACATACATACATACATACATACAGGTTATCCCCAACTTAAGGTGGGCTTCTGCTCTGACAATTCTGTCTATAAGTTGGCTCTGATGTAAGTTAAATACGTAATATTTTTAAAGGGTTTTCATTATTATTGCTTTTTTATCATTATCTTTATGTCTTTGGGGGTTGGATACATCACATATAAACTTAGATATATGAGGAATCGGAAAAATTGTATTAAAATGTAAGAAATTTTTCCATGAGCTTTTTGAGACTTCTCCCATGTATTTTAACATTGTACGTAGTATATATTACAAGCACTAAGATATACACCACCACCCCCAAAAAGTAGTCTTGAATGCCTTCATTGTAGCTCTGAATACCTTCTAAGTCAGGAACTACATGTATATTTCTTTGAGGTAAAATTCATATAAAATAAATTAACCATTCTGAAGTATAATTTGGTGTCATTTAGTACATACACAATGCTATGCAACCATCATCTCTGTCCAGTTCCAACATCAGTTGAAAGGGAAGCCTTGCCCATTAAGCTGTCACTACCTGTTTCCCGCTCCACCCATGTGTATCCGAACTTCTCTTTTTATGTGAGTTCTTGCTTTCACTCCTTGAGTATATACCTGGAAGTGGAATTGCTGTTTAAGTAGCCTCCAAACCATTTTCCACAGTACCTAGTCACTTTACATCTCCACCAGCTATGCATGTGTTTCTGTTGAGTTTTATTTTGTTGGAAGAAACCCTCTACATGGAACAGAGGACTGGAACATGATTTTTTGACATGTGCTGTCAAGTTACCTTCCAAAGCTGTTTTGTCATTTCTGAACTTTAAGAGTGAATGAAAGCAAATAACTATACACAGATTTCACAGAATTGGATTTTGTAATTTAAGTAATATTGTAGCTTAATAAAATGGTATCTGGTTATTTTTTCCTTCTTATTTTAACTGAATGCAGAACTAGACTTTTTTTTTTTTTCTTTCTTAGCAATAGTTTGTAAAATTTTTATAGGACCAAATTTGTTCATTTCTCACCTTTTCTTTGTAAGTTATAAGTCTTTTATTGACCCACACATACTTTCTTTTTCTTCATTTCAGCATTTATATAACTCTGCAGCCTTCAAAGCCCGAACAAAAGCTCGGAGCAAATGTCGAGATAAGAGAGCAGATGTTGGAGAATTCTTCTAGATTTCCAGCACTTGAAAATTGTTTTCTGATCTTAACTTTTTTTCTTTTTCTTTTTAATTTCTAATGTACTTAAATTGTAGAGACAGTTTTTATCTTGGGGTCAACATAGATAACTTTTTTAGCCAGGGATTATATATTATAACTTAATGTACAGTATTATAAATGGTGAATTCTAATGAATAA